ATTTTCAGATTTGTCTATTTCTACGTCTCTTTTACTATCCACGTTCATGCTTCTTTTCGTAATAAGAGTCCTGTAGAGAAGTAGTGGTGATAAGCACAGGCTGTTCACAACCGTAAGGTCTCGGGTTCGATTCCCGCGTCAGGACATAGGCCATCTAGCCACGTTTCCTTCTAGGGGGGGGAGCGATTCTCTGTAACGACAAAACTGAAGGACCTGGGAGTTAATTTAGCCCATTTGCTCGACACGAGATGCTCTCATAAACAGCATAACATCATCATTAGCATGGCGAAGCTGGAAAACATGAGAGTTTTATTTAAGATCTTAGGAAAGGAGACTTTCAGGGCATTGTCCACAACATTTATGAGAACATTCCGATTATGCAACGAAGCTCGTAAGAGAAATGTGAGAATAAAATATGAGAAAAGGTTAAGGGAGCTCAACCTCACCACATTTGGAGACAGAGACAGGAATCCAGAAGACAGAATAACACTAAATAAGATTATCAGAGTAACATAATATTTGAAAGGTGGACATATGTTTAAGAAAATGAAAACAAGGGGGACATAAATGGAAATGTCAGGCACAAATGAGTTATGATACTGTTAGAGAGAACATTTTTTTAGCTTATGGGAAGTGAACAATTGGAGAGGAACAGGAGAGATGGCAGAGGCTAATGCATTAAATGGTTTTCAAAAGAGATATGTCAGGAAACGAAAGAGTTAAAAGTCCTTGTATATTAGAAAATCGGATAGCTGGCAAGGCGGTGCTCAAGAGCTGGTAACTATTATTTCCTGCTAACATAGTTGAATACTTTTGAGTGAATACACCCACATATTCACACCCCTGTATACACACCTTATCTCCCTGTTTCGTTCAACCAATTTCTTCCACTTCATGTCCCTTCCCGTAACAATAACACAACCTCGTGCCCTGTTTCATACCAATAACAAAACCTCATGCTCCTCCCCATACCATTAACACAACCTCATGCTCCTCCCCTATACCATTAACACAACCTCATGCTCCTCCCCATACCATTAACACAACCTCATGCTCCTCCCCATACCATTAACACAACCTCATGCTCCTCCCCATACCATTAACACAACCTCATGCTCCTCCCCATACCATTAACACAACCTCATGCTCCTCCCCATACCATTAACACAACCTCATGCTCCTCCCCATACCATTAACACATCCTCATGCTCCTCCCCATACCATTAACACAACCTCATGCTCTTCCCCCATACCATTAACACAACCTCATGCTCCTCCCCATACCATTAACACAACCTCATGCCCCTATCCCATAACAATAACAGCACCTATGACAAATTAATAAAACCCATACCCTTCCTGACTGGCATCATTAACCCCCTACAACTCTCTGACATTGACTCGTTAGGCCACATTGCAAGAGTTCAATATCGGTTATGCAAGAATGAACGAACATTGAACACTGCCTGTTCCCAGCTGGGTCTTCTCACCCACCCACGTCGGCCCGGACGAGGTTATAGTCGGTGTCTACTGAACACAGTGAGAACAGAATACCATAACTCTACAACACGATAACTGAAGAAAATGATATCTGTAGAACTCAATAACAATCTCTCGGGCCATCTCGTTATACCTGAAAGGTATGAATAGCCATTTTGCACGCTGTAATTGCTTTCATTAGGTCGAACATTGTTTTTCTTTTGTCATACTGAACTGCTCATTACATGTACAAGATCGTTAACTCGACAGCTTTGCATTCATTAGAAATGGTTTGGCCGAGGAGGGAGAGTCGAACGGGAAAATAGCACTCATTACCAGATACGAACAATTGGCTCTCCTCTTAAGAGAACGACTCCAGGTATTACTGAAGCTAGTCATTGAAGAGCAGGAATACTGAGTGAGTGGAGGAAGTCTTGCTCAGACTGGCAGAGGGGAGTATCTTATCACTGAAGTCTTGCTCAGACTGGCGAAGGGAAGTATCTTATTACTGAAGTCTGAAGCACAGTGAAAGAATATTACTGAAGTCTTTAGCACAGTGAAAGAATATTACTGAAGTCTGTAGCACAGTGAAAGAATATTACTGAAGTCTGTAGCACAATGAAAGAATATTACTGAAGTCTGAAGCACAATGAAAGAATATTACTGAAGTCTGAAGCACAGTGAAAGAATATTACTGAAGCCTGCAGATACAGGATATGTCTAAAAGGCATGTGATTTTCTCTGAAATTCGAAGGCTGTTCAGCCTGTGAAAATCAAGAGCTTTTCACTGAATGTTTTGCGATTTGATTTGATTTATTATTTTGCTTTTGTGTTGAATAATATTGTATTTATTGCATAACAATTATATCGTCTGTCGCAAAGTTAGGTGTTTCTAGCGTGACAAATAGTGTTAAAAGTTAGGTGTTGAAGAATCAATTATTAACAATATAAATTATCATCCACACTTTCGTGGAAATAAACATTCCATTTTCCTGCGCTTTAGGAGACTGGGACCGTGGACCCCCATGTGTGTGAGACCGAAGCTCCATCGACCAAGCTATTGAGTAGAGTTCAGTCAATAGAGCTTCGGCATCACACACGGGGGAACCACTGTTCGAGTCTCCTAGAGTCCAAATGAATGAAAAATTAACACTATAATTTGGGCATGATGAGATGTATTACTGGTAGCGTCTATGCACCCTGCCTAAGCCTCATGAACTTCAGGTTTGAGTGTCCGATATTGACACATGTGCATGCAATATATCAATAGCGGCTCGCGTGGTGTTTCATTACGGGCTATTCATGCCCGTGCCACCTCTTGGGTGCTTAAATCTCCATCAATCAATCGCTAGGTGCTGTCTTAAGGGACTCATGCATGCAATCTGTCACCTCAAATAATACGACGTACTTTGACGCTGTAATTCCCAAAGGAACAAAATAAGGGGTACTATGTAAAGTAGTGGCACATAAACAATCGCGTCTTCTACGCGTTGCTTCGCACCTGTTTTAGTAGCCTTTATTTTGTCCGTTGTGGGGACTGAAGAGGACGGGTTTATAAACATAGCCATCATGCTGCACGTATGTTCAATCATCCACCGCCTCAAGGAGTGAAGGTGTTATTGGAATAACTGGGGGAATTGCCGGCTAGCAGCTCGAGGAATACTGCATAGGTGTGTGTGTGTTAGTGTGTACTCACCGAGTTGGGTGAGTACACTCACACGCACTTGCAGTATTGCCAGAGTTGCTATTACTGATGTGTGTGTGTGTGTGTGTGTGTGTGTGTGTGTGTGTGTGTGTGTGTGTGTGTGTGTGTGTGTGTGTGTGTGTGTGTGTGTGTGTGTGTGTACTCACCTATTTGTGCTTGCGGGGGTTGAGCTTTGGCTCTTTGGTCCCGCCTCTCAACTGTCAATCAACTGGTGTACAGATTCCTGAGCCTATTGGGTTCTATCATATCTACATTTGAAACTGTGAATGGAGTCAGCCTCCACCACATAACTGTCTAATGCATTCCATCCGTTAACTACTCTGACACTGAAAAAGTTCACACACTGTGTGTGTGTGTGTGTGTGTGTGTGTGTGTGTGTGTGTGTGTGTGTGTGTGTGTGTGTGTGTGTGTGTATGTGTGTGTGTGTGTGTGTGTGTATGTGTGTGTGTGTGTGTGTACATGATCTCAAGTGAGGCTTTGGCAACATCCGGAACATTCTTGGGAGTCAGGCCTGAGTTAAAAGAGGAGAAGGAACATCAACAACAACCGTGATTGGCTGTGTGTCTGGGTTACCTGGCAGTTTGGGAGACAAAAACGAACATTATCAGTGACTGAGAGCCCACGAGAGTCGCAAAAGACACACCACAGAGAGAGAGAGAGAGAGAGAGAGAGAGAGAGAGAGAGAGAGAGAGAGAGAGAGAGAGAGAGAGAGAGAGAGAGAGAGAGAGAGAGAGAGAGAGAGAGAGAGAGAGAGAAGGGAAGGGAAAGGAACGGGAGGGAATTACCATGAGAAAGCGCCAAGCCATTGCGACTATATACCATTAGGAAGGGATCAGGATAAGGATTCATTTCGGGGGGGAATGAATGTTGTCCAACCACTTGGACGGTCGGGAATTGAACGCTGACCTGCATGAAGCAAGACCGTCCCTCTACCGTCCATTAGAGAGAAAGATTTACTCACATAATCACGAGCGACAGAACCGCCAGCAGGAAGCGCAGTGATAAAAATATATTAATAATTAATGCACTTAGACAGATTAGTAAGACAGTCAGGGAGCACACTGACGGTGTCAGTGACTGGATACTGACCGTCTAGGACCGTCAACACGACTGGACGCTGACCGTCTAGGGCCGTCAACACGACTGGACGCTGACCGTCTAGGGCTGTCAACACGACTGGACGCTGACCGTCTAGGGCTGTCAACACGACAGGACCCTGACCGTCTAGGACCGTCAACACGACTGGACCCTGACCGTCTAGGACCATCAACACGACTGGACCCTGACCGTCTAGGACCATCAACACGACTGTCTCAGTGACAGGACGTGATAAACAATTGATTCGAGCGTCTGGTAATCTCCCGTAGTAAGATGCTGGCGGAACTCAATCAGGAGTACTGAGACCTGTAACTTATCGCTGCTCGGCCTGCATCACCTCCCACGGGTCAATAGGGCGCCGCTCTACATTCCCGTTAAATAAATTAATTGAAAATGGCAAAACATGTGTGAAATTTTATTTCTTTAAATAAATATTTTTGCAGCAAGGATGAAATGAATCACTATTCTTCTTGTCGCTATATAATGCATCAGGATATATAGTTGTTTAGCAATATATCTTGGAAGCTAAGCACAATTTCATTTCGTGAGGTGATGGTTAATCATTACCGGATGTAATTTTGTTGATTTGATTGACGTGTATCGCGTCTGGCAGGCACAGTATCATGGATGTATGACAACTGCGTGAGCCGAGCCGGCAGCACGGTTACCTCTCCAGGTCTGGAGGAGCGACCCAGCAGTATTGCGTTGAAGCATTGAGGGGTTGGTTGTACACTCACGTGCTGGTGATATTCAACTCTTGGCCTCTGTGCAGGTGGCACAGGTGCAAAGCCTGTAATAAAAATTCCCTGAAAACAAAAAAATATTACACATCCAGTTTGTTTCTTAATCCGCTAGTTACACATTTCTTTAAGTAAAAACATTCCTTAAGAGGAATTTATGAAAACTTTGAATTCAAACTGCTGTGTACTAAGTAAACCCGAGCAAAATGTGTAGTGGAGTATAGTGAGCGGGGATTGGGCCTCGTCACTGCATCTTGAAGACAAAATTATTTGGCTACAACAGGTAAACCGACTTGACTAATTCTATATTTGTGTAACATTGAGTGTTAAACGTTCCTTCCTGCTGACCTGTGGCTGGTGGCAGGTGCATGTGTGTGTCCTTTATGAAACCTATTTTGAGCCTTCTAGCACCTCATAGGCTTACTAGTTCTCATATGCCTATTCAGCCTAAACAAAACATAATTATTACCAATTTTCATACTAAGCTCACTCGCCTGTGGAGCAAATCCTTAAGAGTAAATTAGGCTAATTAACATTTTGATTATTTGACATATAGATATTAGGTGGATAATAATTATAGGCCTACTATAATCTGGAAAGGATATCGAATCTGTTAATTAATTAACACTACACTGATATTCAACATTAAAAAGCAATGAAATCAGTTTAGGAAACTAAGGACACATAAAATTGTTTCAATTTTATAAAATGTTAAATTGTTTAGTATTGACAGGTATTTCATTAATTTATATTGTTTTTTATTATTATATATATATATATATATATATATATATATATATATATATATATATATATATATATATATATATATATATATAATATGTATGTTTTAGAATTTAGTCACGCTAAGCAAAATTAGGTGTTTGTTCTAAATGTGGTGGAAGTTAAGAGGGGGAGGGGTGTTCGAACTAGGGATAATGGGGATGACAAGTGGTGTTCGAATTACAGTTTAAGGAAAGAGGTTTTCAAACTGGGAAGGTGTAAATGACAAGAAGTGTCCGAACATGGGAGAATCGGATGAGAAAAGGTGTCCGAATTTCGGTGGAAATTATTGTTGAGTGAAGAGTGGTTGAAAACCCCCCAAATAATAAATCTTCTCTATTTGGGGTGAAAAATGATACCTAAAACCCCTTTCGAACTAGAATAAGTGTAATGACCACCTTAAAGATGCGGGGGACCAGGGTTGGTTAGCAGTGAAGGGAACGGATGAGACACAGGATTGGCCATCATTGAGGAGGAGAGATATTGCACAGTGCTGCCCTCTAGTGAAGAAATTGATGTGGCTCTGGGTTGACCTCCAAATAACGAGAAGGAATGTGGTAAATGGATGACATCCGGTGAAGAAGGAGGATGTGGTTCAAAGATGAAGAGAAGATGATGTGGTGGTGAAGAGTAGGGATGTGGCAAATGGCTAGCCTTCAGTGACGAGCAGGGATGTGACACAAGGCTGGCTTCCAGTATTGAGAAAGAATATTGGCTTTGAATATTAAGGAGGGATGTGGCAGACGATTGGCTTCCATTGACGAGGATGAATGTGACACAGGGTCGACCTTTAGTGACGAGGAGGGATCTGACACAGAGCTGGCCTCCAGTGTGCCAATTATTTGCATTGTAGTTGTTTCTCCTCTATGGTGAGTTATTTGGTATGGCCAAGTCAGTGTGTTGAAGTGTGTAAACATCAGCATGCACTCAATGTTGCACGCGTACACGCGCACACTCAAACACAAACCTAAGTTCCAGGATTCGAGCCCGACAGCCGGCGGAAAAACAAATGGGCAGAGTTTCCTTCACCTTGATGTTCCTGTTATCTAGCAGTAAATAGGTATCTGGGAGTTAGACAGCTGTTACGGGCTTCCTCGTGTGTGTGTGTTTGTGTGTGCCGAAAAAAAATTAGTTAGTAATTAGTAACAGTTGATTGATTGACAGTTGAGATGCGGGCCGAAAGAGCAGGTCTTTCTAGGGTGTGGGTCTAGGGGTATAGGTAAGGGGTCTGGTAGATGAGTGGACGGCACGCAGGACTCGTAATCCTGTTGCCCGGGTTCGATTCCCGACATCGGCAAATGGGCAGTTTCTTTCATTATCCAGGTTTGTGCCAAAACTGTTGGGATAAAACTATGAGAGGCTAACTTATCGAAGCTTTACTTGATAAATATGAAGAAAGACGTTCGTCTGTGAAGGAGACATGACAACGATGTGTAAGATTCTTTTGGGATATTAAATGAATGAGGAGTACAAGTTCGGTGTAAGGCATGGAAGACAAAAGGGACATGTATTTTAACTTGAAGGCATAAATGAGCCACAAATATGTTGTAACACCTTTTATCATAGTCTCCTGCCTATTGATTGTGAGGAAACTGTACAAAGTCAAGAGGGAGATACAGGATAGACTACCACGATAGAGAATTGTTAACTCAAAACATGAAAGCCTAGGTACACCATTAAACAACCAATAGGGTGAAGCAGGGGTCAGGAGCTACCACTCAACCTACAGGCACGAGAACACGCACACACGCACACCTCCTCCCTCCCACCACACACACACACACACACACACACACACACATACACACACACACACACACCCTGAGGGCCTGGTAGCCTGGTGGATCGCGCGCAGGACTCGTAATTCTCTGGCGCGGGTTCGATTCCCGCACCAGGCAGAAACAAATGGGCAGTTGCTTTCACCCTGAATGCCCCTGTTACCTAGCAGTAAATAGGTACCTGGGATTTAGTCAGCTGTCACGGGCTGCTTCCTGGGTGTGTAAGTGTGTGGTGTGCAAAAAAAAGTAGTTAGTAAACAGTTGATTGACAGTTGAGAGGCGGGCCGAAAGAGCAAAGCTCAACACACGCAAAAACAACTAGGTGAATACAACTAGGTGAATACACACACACACTGAGTACCCAGATGAGCCACAGAGACATTAGAAAGAACTTTTTCAGTGTCAGAGTAGTTAGAAAATGGAATGCATTAAGCAGAGATGTTGTGAAGGCTGACTCCATACACAGTTTCAAATGTAGATATGATAGAGCCCAGTAGGCTCAGGAATCTGTACACCAGTTTATTGACAGTTGAGAAGAGGGACCAAAGAGCCAAAGCTCAACCCCTGCAAGCACAAATAAGTGAGTACACACACAGGCTACACACATCCTCTCCTCTGCAGTTATTCGTCCATTGTTTTAAACCCCTAACCAAACGAAGGTATTTCTACGAACATAATTATTGTTCTTATCTTCTCAAGTATGTAACTTGGAACTTTTGAACATTCAATGAAACAGACGGTGGTGTACAGTCTTCCGGGCTGGCGCTCTCTCCTGACAATTACTTCCCTAATTTCTTTCCTCAATTCACGTTAGTGTAAATTAGTGACAAGGAAGTGTAAAGTATTTCGGAGAATTATCAGTGACTGAGCTTTCAGGGGGAACACATTTTTGTTTTCGTTTTTGTAACGAACCAGCTTTTGTTTATATATAAATATGAAGATAGATAGATAGATAGATTATAATGAAGATAATGCCTGCCTGTCTCTCTCTCTCTCTCTCTCTGTTCGAGGTTGAGGCCAAAAGCTTGGGCTAGCCTCACCAAACTTTGCAGCAAAACTGTTACAGTCTTTGTCCGGAGATGATCATAGAGGGGGGTCGATGTCGACCCCCCCCCTACGGCCCCCCCCTTCGTACCTCCCCCTTGCCCCCCCCCTTGCCCCCCCCCCTTGCCCCCCCCCTTGCCCCCCCCCTTGCCCCCCCCCCCCCCTTCGTACCTCCCCCTTGCCCCCCCCGGTGCCCCCTCTTGCATGAAATGGCAAATCATTCTAATTTCCAATCTAGGTAAATGCTAAGGTGGTGAAAGGTCGGAAGTATGGTCGAGGGTTGGGACAGTGTTTGGAGGGTAGGGAAGAATGTGAATGGTAGGGAATAGGGTGAAGGAGAGAGTAGTGAAGGATATGGAAGTTGGTGAAGGGCAGGGAATGTGGTGAAGGATGTTGAAGATTGTGAAGTATAAAGAACATGATACTGGGCAGGGAGGCTGGTGAGCAATAAGGATGATGGTGAAGGAAAGGGAAGGTGTAAAGGTGTGCAGTTTAGATAGATAGATAGATAGATAAATAGATAGATAGATAGATAGATAGGTAGATAGATAGATAGATAGATACATACATACATACATACATACATACATACATACATACATACATACATACATACATACATACATACATACATACATACATAGGTAGATAACCATCAGATGGTTACAGTTAGCAAAATAGTGAACACTTAAAAGGGCAACAGTGATGAAGATAGTGAAGATTTGGCATCCGGCATCCGAGCAACGCCGGGGGCCCCCCTTTTTATATATATATAAAAAGGTACAGAAAAACCACAAAATATATGCTTGAAGACACTACACGAGAGAGCGAAATAGCATATAAACACCTCAGAAGTATAAAGTGGAGGAGCTTGACGATATGGGTTTCCAGTGAGAGGCCAGAGTGTGGAGCCTAAACAATGTCTTATGGACCCCCAAAAGGGTCGTCTAGATAGAATGGCTTATACAAGTTATGGCCCGAGCCTAAATGGTGCTATATAACGCTCGGAAGAAACTATCTTGAAGTTTCAAAATAGCTTATTAATACTGGAGGGAGAGAGAGAAAGAGAGAGAAAGAGAGAGCGAGAGCGAGAGAGAGAGAGAGAGAGAGAGAGAGAGAGAGAGAGAGAGAGAGAGAGAGAGAGAGAGAGAGAGAGAGAGAGAGAGAGAGAGAGCTGGTGTTGAGTTGCAGAGGTCGTGGTGTTAGCCAGATCTTGAATATTACCCTAAACGAATCTTCTTATAAGCATTAAGGAGGAACAACCCGTAATGTATATGGAATTCAGCTACCGACACTCACAAAGTTTTTCTTTTCCTGTAAAATGCTCAACTGCCTGGAATAACCTCATGCTGTACTGAACGCATTTTCAAATTGACAACAAATTCGTAAGATAAGATAATTTTCAGAAGAAAGCGCTAAAACAGTACGTCTGTATATAGCATTAGGAAGGGCTATGAGGACGAGGAGAGAAAGAGCCGAGGCAATTAATGGTGTCTAACAACTTGATTCACCGCAGATCGAACGCCGACATGTGAGAAGCGACACAGTCGTAGTGACTATTCACAAATTTGTTGAATATAACACAGTTTGGACCGAGCGTGACGAAGCACGAGAGGTACTGGTCCCTTGGCCTCTCACCTCGTTACTCTGGTACCACTCGAAACGAGCTTATTAATGC